GTCTCCACATGAAAAGTTTAATTTATAAATGCATATTGAAGTAGGCAGAGTCAGTAGCTTATCCTTCACCTGCCTTGGAACTGCACAATGGCTCGCGTATTTTAAACACAGTGTTGAGGCAAAGGATGTTTTAGCCATTGTTTCTCGATGACAGCAATTCAGTTGCCGCGTCTCCCGGTAGAGTCATGCACGTGAGGGTTACAAAAACAAATGAATTGTGGAACTTCGATAAACACAGGCAGAAGATTAACAACTTTGTCTATAGCCAAACAATCAACTGATATGAATCAAAAATATGCCGAAGAAAATGGAGATTGATAAAGCACTGGGGAGATGGTCGATTGAAATCGCTTAGCAGTCCACCGCTTGAGTGGGAATCGACGACCCCGGCGTCCGATGGTTACATGGAGGCGATTGTATGAGGTACAGATGAGAGACAATGGACAGTTGTGGGCCCAGTTAAACAGGACCACAGAGATGTGCTGTTGAAGCCTTTTGTTCCATTTGGAGCTCTCAAGTTTATCAATGGAAACACCTAGAGGAGTTTACTGAAATACGCACAGGCGATAGCTACCCGTAAACTTAAGCCCTCTCCCCGTGATCATAGAAACAATTTATTATCACTCTTAACCTACTTTGGTAATCTTTATCTGTTTTTCGAGTTTGACCACGGATTGATATCAGTTAGAGAACCATTGAAAACCAGCTGGGAGTACTGGACAGTTATTACGTCCCGCTAGTTTGTGACTCATCGGCAGTAGGTACCCACTGGATTTGGAACCCTTCTGATTTCAAGGTAATCTCGTGTGCAAATCAACTCTTGAAAATCAATCTGATGCTCGTTTGTGACTTGCTACAGGGGATGGAGTTTCCCAGAGTTCTACTGAGAAGTTGTGACCAATAAGGTCCATCCAGTCGGGATTGGGAATTGAGTTATCGCCGATGAAATTGGTTGGTTGTCGCGCTAAAATTAGGAATTGGTAGAAGTTAGAATTCATGGGCTGGCCTTTGAATCGAGTCGCAGTGGCTGATTGGTATATGGGCTAGCCTTTGTAACGAGAAGATCCTTAGTTCGAATCCCAGTGGGTACGCACTGCCATTGAGTCCAAGACTAGGCAAACGAAACAGCTGTCGAGTACACCATGGTTTTCAATGGCTCTATAACAGATATCAATCCGTGGTCAAACTCGAATAGCTAATCAAATCTTTACAAATCAACTCCTGAAAATCTTTGATTCACTTTATTGACAGATGTAGTGTTAATTATTCCTAGTTTGGGTTTACAGTCTTTATCTTGTTATTCTGTAACGTTAATGTTATATCGGCATGGAACTGAATGAAACCCATCGTCACTTTGTTATGTCTGCGCCTGTTAATTGCTATAACGGTAATGAACTCGACTGGAATGCTAATACACGCCATATTTGTCCGTTGTACCTTCCACCTCACTGAGCCACGCAAATATCAAAAGACAAAGGCTGGCCTGGGAATGTAAGATATTGTATATTTTAGGAACAACACATCCTATTTATACATTTTGTTTGTTACAATACAGTCGGCTCACAGCCGTGAGAATGGATTAATCTTATTTACTAGCAATTTCTAATCCCATCAGTTGGTGATCAGACAAAGACCAAGTTAGACAAAGATGATGAATCGATCACACATTAAATCAAAATATGAGTGGAAAATGATTGATTAAAATAACTCAATCAGACGATTCGTGGGAAAGCGCAATATACCATTTCGTGAGAAAGGATGATATGCTGTTTTATGCTGGATGCAGTCTGTTAACTATTCACTTCCGTATAAATTGATCTTCTACTAATTCAATGTGTCAACATTCTGTTTGGACCGTAGTGATTACCACCCTATATCTCAAACTGGCCCAAACTCCTTCAGGGAAATTAATCGAAATTAACTTAACAAAGTTAAGATTTAACTGGTGGATGGCCACTAGCAGTGGAATCCAGGATAAAGCACATTTCGTCCTACTTGGGACTCGTCCGCCAGCTCGATGTACCTGCATTCCCCAGTGAGTGACGATTTTTCCACCGAAGCTCAAACTCAGTACCCATAGTTTCAAACGCCAAAGCGTTGTCCATTAGACCACAAAAGCCACCTACTGTACAACGGATCATATTAATAATTTAATTGAATTTTAGATTTTCCCGTACATGCGGCTGACGAGTCCCAAATGGGACGAAATTCTCATGCTGGATTACACTGCTAGTCACCACCCTACCAATCAACTTCTAATTACATGCACAGACATCGTGAAAGCATCTGCACAAGAAGCAGAAAGGTCAACCTGAGAACGAGCAGCACTTCGCTCCAATCAATCGACGGGAAAATCTAAAATCCAGTTAAATAACGCAACAGAGGTTTTTGTGTAAAAAGAACATCTTTTGTTTTTAAAAAACTTTCTTCAATCATATGAGTCATGAAACACGTATCAACATGTATAATAAACAAAATTGTATGAACCGTCATCAAAATTTGACCTCAGACTTTTAAAAATCAGTCTGCTTTTTTTAAACACTTTAAACAGAGTGTACTTTTCATCAGATTACGTTCGACTAAGAGTTTATGGTCGTAGATACCTGAATATGAAAATATATGTGTTTATGCCGCTTACAATCGTGTGTATATGTGCGCATGGGTAAACAGTTAACAAACATTTGTTAGCCTCTCCATAAGAAGATATAGACAATCGGGAATTCCGACCAGGTATGATTAATTAGTGATACAAATCCAATTTTTTATTTTATTAATCAGGATTTGCCATGCATCAGATAACATCACATCAACTTGATATGATTATGAGCAATAGTTTGTGCTCGAAACATCATCAGTTAGTATAACTGTACAACACTGTGATTTATCAAAAATAAAATTTTATCCATTATGGAGTCATGGGATTCACTCATATTTGCAGGGCTTCCGTAGTCAGTCTTTCTTTATACGAACCAAAACCTTTCTGTAGAACCTCAGTCCTATCAAAGTCGATCTTTTATCCCATTTCTATCGAATGCAGTGCAATCGCTTATCTGTTTTCTAGTTTCTTCAAGTCTGTAGAGGTGTTCGGAACCACCTTTAGACATTGTTTATGCTCTTTCACTCTTATATTTACCTGTCTGGAAGTTTCTCCTACGTATACGGTGTCACAGTCCCCACAATTGATCTGGTACACACAATTCTGTTGGTTTTCTTCTTCTATTTCATCCTTAACCTTCACCACTGATGAGCATAAGGTGTTAGATGCTCCAAAATACACTCTTACGTCATGATCGTTAAGGATTCACTTTATCTCATCCTATGATTCTTTGCGGGAGGGAATCACCACTGTACTAACCCAATTCTTAGCAACAGGTTTAGATCCATCTTTATCTTCACATTTTAAATATCTTTTTAATGAAGGCTTTAAGATAATTATTTAATTCAAGAGTGGATTAAACCAAATTTAGTTCATTGCTAATCTCTTCCTCCTCAGTAACTAGACGTTTGGCTCTGTTAATCAGATTCTTGGCTACAGTTACTTTGGTGATTAAAGGGGTGCGCTGTCCGAATTTTTCGGTTTCCTGAAAATGTTTATTTTAAATTTACCACTTAGTTTTATTTTTACTAAACAGTCCAGGAACGCCAAATCATTCTCATTGGATTCAACCTCTTTGGAAAACTTTATAGTTTCTGACATAGTTTATTTAGTGAAAAAGTTCATCCAAAAATCTACGTCTGATTGTGACGAAGGTACCATTCACGTATCTTAACCACATTTTTGGAGGAATAGAGCATCTCCTAATTGCATTTGTTTCTAATGAGTGCATAAACAGATTGGCCACTAGCGGAGATACTGGTGATCCCATAGCAATGCCTTCTGTTTAACGGCAATAACCACAACCAATAACTATCAACGGGAGAAGTTTGAAACAGGTTACTCCCTTCACTTATCTGGTCAGGTAGTATCAGTATCATTTCAACTACAGGCAAACAGCACGGATGAAGATGTCAAAGCCGGAATCGGAAGGGCAAGACCAAGGCCTACATCAACATGAAACCAGTTTGGAAACCTTGTGCGCTCAGTCCATATAAAGGACAAAAATCGGATTTTCAACGCCAATATTATCAGTCAATTTTTCTATATGCGTCAGAAACTTGGCGTGCGCATCACGAAAAGCATCTCTAACAGGCTACTGCAGATTTTTATCAACAACTGCCGTCGCCGGCTCCATACTCAAGATCAGATGGCCAGCAAGAAGGAATTAGCAACAAGAAACTCTGGAAAAATAACTAAACAAGAACCTAATTGGTGGATGGTGACTAGCAGTGGAATCCAGGATAAAGCGCATTTAGTCCTATTTGGGACTCGTCTAACCAAGTGGTCTCGTGGATAACGCTTTGGCGTTTGAAACTATGGGCACCGGGTTCAAGCCTCGGTGGGAACATCACTCACTGCGGAATGCAGGTATATCCAGCCGGCGGACGAATCCCAAATAGGACGAAATGCGCTTTATCCTGGATTCCACTGCTAGTCACCATCCTACCAATTAACTTCTAATTACGTGCACAGATATCGTCGAAGCATCTGCACAAGAAGCCGACAAGTCTACCTGGAACCAAGCACTTCGGTCCAATCAATCGACGGGAAAATCTAAAACTGAATTAAATAAACAAGAACCTTTTGCTCAACAAATATATTCTGAAGGTAATGCGGAAGTGGATTGGGCATACACTGAAGAGACCTTCGAAGGACATCACGCTCCAGCTAGGCTATCGCTCGAGTAGTACCCAAATAAGAAACGACGAGTGGGTCGTCCGAGGGTAATGTGAAGGAGGAGATCAGAGAATATCACTAATCGTGGGACCAGCTAAACAGGATCTCAAAGAATAGGGCAAAGTGGAGACGTCCTTTTGAAGCCTTATGTGTCCTACTCGGAACCCGAGGGAACAATAATATCAATAATCACAGTAAAAAGCCAAGCTATTGATAAAAATTACCTTTCAGGAAAGAATTTTATTTTTTTGTTTTTCGTTACTATTGTACAAAAATAGAATAAATTTTACAAAAATCGTTGAAATGCGTACTTGAAGATAGGCAAAGTTGTGAATAGACAAAATACTCTGAAGAGGAAAGAAGGCGAATAGCATATATCTACACGTATATATACACAAAATCAACTTATTTTTCTATGGATCCATTGAAGGTACCACATTACAACATATCTCAGTCTGTATTCAAACCATTAGTTATCAAAATCTTTCTATAAGTTGAAAATAAATGTCTAATTAAATAACTTGTCACTTTCGGTTTTATATACTCACAAGACTTTCGACTAGCCTCGTATCGATCAATATACGCGGTTAGAGTATCCACCTGCACTAGTTTATTCAGCGTACAATGATTGTGTATTAAATAGAATAATAGAAAATCTATACAGAAATGAGTTAAACAAACTTCCCACAGTGAAGAGGGTTGACGGTCTGCAATCAATTGGCTGAAGTATGTTAAACAATCACTAGTTATGCTTTTCATCCAATCATTTTTAAGACATTCATAGACGACCACCTCCTCCTCTTTTTCTTCACCATTCACCACCAGCGCCGCCGCCTCCTCCTCCTCTTCCTTCTCTTTCTCTTCTTTATAACTAGCCATATAGAAATATATAATCTGACCGATATTTAATAACATTAAACTGCATATCACACCCGGACAGGGTGTAGTTTCTGATGATGATGACGAGAGAAGGCGTGAAAAAGCTTCATACCAACGATTAAGAAACAGCGGCTCTTTTGGAAATAGCCGAAAACTAACTGTTAAACACATTGATGATAAACGCAGACATTCATTTGACAAATAATCATTATCATTTGAAGATGATGATGATGATGCATTTAGAAGAAGATTAACACCAATCCAACACCAGGCAAGTTGTTCAATCTCTTTACCAGGTCGTATTTTAGAAATTCCAGCTTCACGATGTAGCATATTCGTAGCACTTATCCATTGTTTATTTCCAATATTCAATATAATTGAAAAGAATGACTTTTCAACTGAATTTGAACGACGATCAATTAACCGTTTTATACACTTTTCTGTGTATATTACAACTTCCGATGATGATTCTAAACGTAAATGAGCCAGAATTAAAGCTTCTTTAACTTTGTCATAACTTAACAGTAATTCAATTGCTTCGTGAATACGATGCGCACACACCAGTAGGGTAGCAGAGACCAGAGTATCAGGACTAGTCGTTTGCATATCTTTTATCTATCATTATTGGATTTTTCAGTGGAAAAAGGCGGAGAGAAAAAAACAAAATCACGATTACACAAAGAAAACAGGGTTATTCATCAAGCATTTTGTATATTCAAAGTAAAATATTTCGTAAATGCACATCATGAACACAACCGATTATCAATAAACAGACAGTCATACAGATTATCACAAATTTCAGCTTAAAGGAGAGTGACGAAAAGATTTTTCAAAAATATAACTAAATATTCTCAACGTTATGTAACCTAAGTCCCCTACCGACAGCTGCTACCTACCTTTACGTTGTGGTCAGGCTTGCATATCACGACGACCCTATAAGGTACACTGGCTGGAACTAATGTTCTCGCAGGTCCTTGCATCCCAGGAAGAATGTTAGGGTAGCGAATTGACAAAAAAAACAGTTACTAGCATAGAGCAAGATTACTTCAGAGAAGTTGCATTAGCCAGTCCCAGTGCGTTGATTGCTGACCAAATCCCAGTACGGATACAGAAGGCTTGTTTGGCATCCACCCGCCAACTTACACCATCTCTCGCGAAGACGTGATATCTGGCTGACTGTCGACCAAAGGACGTGTAAACTGCTCACCAGTTCGCTGTGAGTGAGAAGTGGCCATTGACAGTGAAAGACATGGAAAGCCCAGCGAGCTATCTTTCATCATGCGTATCTGTGTTTCACCTACATCCCGTGTTAGGTGGTATGGTATGATAGGGTGAGTAATATTGTATTGAAGTTAGGCATCGGTCGAGTTCTAGGTAAGGAGGCAGCGGAAGACAACCAACGAGGTTGTGATGTTACATCGATTGAGATGCCCAGGAAAGGTGTTACGCATACTAGCCCAGCCATCGATCGCCTTACTCGACGGGCAATCTTACCTAGCTGACATAGGATCCGCGAGGTCGGAAAAAAGCTAGTGGCGGTGAAACGAAAACACGACTTCACCAGTCAACGAAATCCATGACATTTAGTTTAGGCCAGCCAGTCACGTAGGGGGGTGTAGATTGGGTGACTGGCTGTCTGGTTGGGGTCTTCAAGATGGAAAAACCCAAATGACTATTGGAGACAATTGCTGATATGGCTCGAAATCGTTCTCAGTGATAGCGCAGATACATTCACTCATTCTTTGTGATTTGTCATATCCAATAGAACTCTATTGTTCTTTCATATTACTATTCTCCTCCTCTCACTCACACTTTTGTTTATTATCTCTCGTCACTCTCTTCTCTGGCTTTGTGTAGTACATGGAGGGAGTGTGGCAACTGGAGCTGCTGCACATCTGTGTAAAGTTCTACGATGAAACAAGTCAGCCAGTCACTACTGCTACTTTAAGTTGGTTTCTTTCATTGACCGACCTATTGGATAATCAATGCTAATCTTCGCAGAGAAGTTCATCACTTCAAGATTTAAAATTTCCATGAATGTGAAACAAGTACCTAGAAATGTAATTCCATTATGGGTAAAATTTATTTTGATGAAGTCTCACAGTGTTATACAGCAATATTTACTGATGACGTCTCGAGTTATTTGATACCAACGCTTGGTATCAAATAACTATCCTCTAAAATTCATTAAGACGACCAAAACAGGCCAAAAACAAAATCAAAATAATTCTGACACTAGTAATGTTAACATAAATAAGAGAGAATACAAGGCATCTACAGGTCTACCATATAAGGAGGGGACATTTGAGACCCTACATAGGATTCTTAATAAAGCAGGAATTAGAGTGGCATTCAAAACTACAAACTCACTCAGGTAGGACAAGATCTGTATGTTAAAGGATCCTGTCAGTTGACTCAATTACACAAAATAAAATAATTTACGAAATACCTTGCAATGACTGTGAATGTGATCAACTACATAGGTCAAACTAGTAGATCAGAAATGGTCAGATTGTTGGAACATAAGAATTTAACTAAAGTTAGAATGGTTGACCCCGAGAAGATAAGAAATTTAGAAAAAAGCTCAGCAAAAGCACTGCATGTATTAACACACAACCACACAATAAGGTTGTGGGAGGTTAAAATTATAAGAAGTAATACAGGTAGGTAGAGAGGGAGGTTGATCATTGAATCCATGTTCATCGAGTCTACACCCAACATGTGCAATAGGAAATATGGAAAATACTGCTATCAATCAAATCGAGCTACGGAAAATAATGGAATTATATAAACGAAGTTAGAAAGTTGTGTGAGTAGTGTCTTGATATGATTATGAGTAATAATTCGTAAATATTACTGTATAACAATGTGAGACTTTATCAAAATAAATTTTACCCATAATGGAATTACATTCTACCACAGTGCACAAGTTTTATTCTTATAGATAGAAATGTAATTACAATACCAAAAAACAGAATGATTATCATTGGACCAAATGTGAAAGATGACAAAAGGTAAATATATCACACTGTGAATGACCTCCCATGATGTTCCCAAATGTCATATACCATTGACTTCTGTACCTCAAGGATTATAGTTGCGTAAGGTACACCGCGCTACATAGTTCAAACAAAGTCAGTGACTCCATGGATTTCGGCCATGTTATGTTTGATCACTCCAAATAATACGCCCCACAACTCAATGCTATTTCAAGCAAACATCTCTAGTCGAAACAATCAGTCGTAAATATGAACCTGAGCCAACCAGGGCGTGATCGGAGTCTACACACGTGTTTAAGAAGGAGTGTCAGTCTTCTGCTGACACCCACCAAAGATAGTCTATCGCTGTGTCATCTATTTGAGTCCGACGATGATTCGGTTAAGGAGGTCACCAGGATAGGCACTGTCTCTCTATGTGCCTAAAGTTAGCGCTGACTAGGAACAGATGATTATCTTAAGAGAACTGTAGAACACGATCACCGTTCTCAGTTCACCGGCAGGGAACTCCGGCATTACTTTTCTACTTGAGCATTGAGGTTGACAGCTAAAATCACTACGTCTGAGTGTCTTGCTTTATACACCAAACTAGACAGATTTTCGTAGGAATGACTCTTTAATTCATCCGAACTGCAGTCCATTCGGTGGTAAGCAGAGACTATGAAAAGACACCAACGAGTAACGTAGTCCTTTCTTCTCCAAACGGGCCCGTTCAGACAGACCGCACATGTATGGCTATCTCCAAGGATCCAGTCAATACAGGATTTTTCTGCCCCAACACTCAGTGCCATCCCTACGCCTACGAGTCCTCGCAATCGCACAGTCAAAACGACTGGTAGCTCCGTATGCGTAACACATATACTGCCCACCACATAACAAACAGCATCATAGCCATGTTAACTAGTAGCCTCTCTTTACATAATACCACTGAAAATAATGAGACACTGGAAGCTTCAAAATACACTGACGAATAAAACTTGAGAAATATCAAACTGAATTAACCAATTGAAACCGTTAAGCGGCCTAAGGATACAATATCCAACATCGTTTTTACAGGCTAGAGTGACTGACTGGTTTCAACATAGAACTTTGCACCGATGTGCAGCAGTTCAAGTCGCCACACTTCACTTAGCACAAAGACAGAGAAGAAAGTAAAAAGAAACGCAAAATAGAGAAAGTAAACAGAGATGTGAGGCAAAAACAGTAGTAATATCGAAGAAAAATATAGTTTTATTGGGTATTATAAGTCACAAGGAGTGGATGCATCAGCGCCACTGAGAACGATTTTCAGCCATATCACCAATTGTTTCCAACCATTGCCATTGGTGTTTACCGTCCCGAGGACCCCAACCAGTCAGGAACTCTACACATTCCTACATGGCTAGCTTAAACCAACTGTTGTGGATTTCATTGACTGATGAGGCCATGTTTCCGTTTGACCACCATTGGCTCTTTTCCAACCTAAACAATCCTATGTCAACTAACATTGCCTGTTGTCGAGATACGCGATAGCTAGGAATGCATGCGTAACACATGTCCTAACAATCTCAGTCGATGTAACTTCACAGCCTCGTCGATTGATTTCCTAGCACTAGACGCCTAATCTCGATATTACTCACCGTACTACACCTACCACTTCCCACGGGAGGTAGAACGCAGGCACCTATGATCAAAGACAGCTAGCCGTGCTTTTCATGCCTTCCACTTTCAATGGCCAGGTCTCACAGCCATAAAGGACAACGTAGCGGACTGTTGAGCAGTACACACATCATTTGGTCGATAGCCGGATATCACGTCTACACCAGAGACGGCGTAAGCTGGCATATGCGAAACTAGCCCTCCCTCTGTATGCGTGCTGAGTTTCAGTCACTTGACTTAGTCTGAGGATTAGTTTGGTCACGCTGAAGTTTCCCTATGGAACTTCGTCATTTGCTTTGCTTGTAACTAGAGAGATAATGTCGTCTGTAACTGCTTAGCGTCTGGCTGAAATTTACACATTTCAAAAAAGTTAAACGATGAAAATCTGAAAAGTATAAATGCATATTCGTCTATGAATGTTTTGATTGTATTTCTCGTTTAAATATGTAAATCACTCACCTTTTCACCTAGTAAATCCCATTCCCCACTTCCAGAAGATCCATCTGAAGAAAACGATAGCTGAACTGCATACAGTAACCAAAAAGGCATATGACCTTCTGAAGACATGATAGATGCCACCGTGACCACATGACCTATCCATAATAAAATAATACAATACGCATCCAAATGCACAAGACTGTTAGGTCTTTGTTGAGAATGAAATGACTCCAAGTGAGCAGACGCCTCCATATTCAGATATTTTAAAAGGCATGTACGAGTCATACGAGCTTGTGGGAGTAGAAGTAACAAATCAATTTCCACTTGTTTGTCATTCATTTGTTCAGTTATGAAATTTGAAGCATTTAAAATTTGTGAAAGAAAAGATCCTAGTTGAATGGGTGGAGAGTTATCTAAATCTAATTCACAATTATTAGTATTCATAGAACTGAATAAATTAGGAAAAAGAGCAGGTCTTTTCCTTTTATCATGAATGCCAGTAGAATTTACTTTCCGAGACGAATTACACTGTAGGGGAATAGACATTTCTTGGTGAGAAGTACCATTAGGTAGGATGTCATTCGATTTTATTATCACTTGCTTTTGTTTTAACTCTTTGTCATTTAGTGCTTTGGAATCAGGAAGGGATTCTGTTTCTGTTGGAACAGGATCACAACACAAAATATCTCCGTTGGACGGTGCTTCTCGATCATTTACAAGCTTTTTAACAGTGGATGGACGATATCGGCGAGTGTGCGGAGGTTGACTGAAGAGTTGTTCAGAGGGTTGCCAACCGAATAAATGACATAATTCACCACCACTGAATGCAAGATCAGGCTCTTGACGACTCCATAGACAAGCAAAATGACGTGAACGAAGTGCACGAAAATTAGAGATTGAAAAATTATCTTTTTCAATATTTTCAGGATGAATTCTCCAAACATTAGCTGTACCGTCAAAGGAAGCAGATAATAAGAGAAATGGATCGTGTGGAGACCAATCTAGACATGTGATTCTGTTGTAATGTCCTTCTAAACGAGCTAAACTAGTAGACAGTTGAATAGGCTTAGAGGATTCGCCTTGATGAAGGTAGTTGATCAATTGAATTTTGACATCTGTGACAGTGATAAATGTTTCATTGGAACCTACAGCCAACCAGTAATGATCTCGTGACCAAGTTAAACAGTTAACACACTTGGAATGATTCACAGTACGACAAATAAAGACAAGTCGTCTAGACTCCTTCTCCACCACCTCCTCCTCACAATTTGATGAGTTTGAACGTAAGAAACCATAAATGTCAACTTCACCTGAACGATAACCAACAGCTACTAAACAGTTAAAAGTATCAGCAATTAGATCGACACCAGGTAGTTCAGATTTACTGACAAGACGGAATGATATCTCACTACGGATCAATGCTTTCCAGTCTTCATCTGTAGTACCCGGAAAACGGGGGAATTTTGTGCTAACATCAATTGGTGGACGACTGCATCCAAAATGACAGTAAATTTTCCCCTTACTTATGCTGTAAACGTAGAAAGAAAACTTAGATGAGGCTTCGTTATCCTCGGTGGAACTCTCATCTTCTTGTGCAATTATATGCGTTGTTGAAATGCTAGAATTATCAGATTTCGAATGATTGATTTCGCTAGTTCTCTCTTCACTTTTATTTGCCTTTCTACGATATATATCAGAAAATAGTAAAGGCCCCCAGGTAACTCGATATACAGTTGAACCAAATGCATACAGCTGCGGTTTAGGCTTTTGTGATTTCATTCTTCGTAGCTTATTAATATCTACAATCTCCACACAACCTGATTCAGTGCCATAAGCAATAACATTTTCAAACTGCGGTAAAGGATGACAAGACAGCGTGGTTACCGAAGATGATTTGCATCCTCGAGGTGATATTGAAACAAACTTCTCTTTCTTTTGATTATCAGAAGAATTTCTTTCGCCAAACAATTCTGGTGCAGGAAACTTCCAAAATATCATGGAACCGTCTGAAAGACCTGCAACTAAGGGACCATTGCTAAATTCAGATTGAGCTAAAGAGCAAACACCTGCAGACATTGTAGGTACTTTAAGAATCACTGACAGCTTAGATCCTTCCACCAATTGCCAAACAATCAAAAATCTATCTTGACTCAAAGTGATTACCAGTCCTGGTGAATTAAGAAAGTAGTGCATTGAGAAAATTAGCATAGAATGTCCCTGACTGTCAAGCGACATACAGCTAGGTGTTCCTTTGCAATCCCAGTGAAATAGTCCACCTCGTACACTTGAGAATAAAACATTCACTGACGAATCACTTCCTGGTGTGTAGCAAGCAGATATCCATGGAGCTCCATTTTGTTCACTTTTCTCGTTATGTCGTCCAGCATTTCCAAATTGTTGACGTAATTGACCGGGAACTTGGAAAGATGAAGTGCATTCTGAAGTGGTGACATTCCATACCTATTTACAGAAATCAAAAAGAAATCAAACATTAGCAAAAATGGTGTCCTACTGCATATGAATATACTAATATATTACTGACTGACACACTGGTTTCAACACAGAACTTTGAACAGATGTGCAGCAGTTCGAGTTCTCGCACTTCACGTAGCACACACAGCATGACAAGAAACCACAGATATATAATAAACAGAAGTGTGAGTCAGGGGAGAAGGACAGTAATCCGAAAGAACAATAGAGTTTCATTGGATATTCGAATAGTGTTAATAGAAGACGGAGATTATCTGAAAAATGTGATGTATTCACGCTTTACATTTCGAACAATCTGCTCACACATTTACTTGTCAAGTCAATATATTTGAAAAAATTAAGGGCAATTAAATTAAACAAAGTGACAAAAAAGGATTTCAGAATGATTAGCACAACGTTTAGTAATCCAATCAAATAAAGATTACCAAGATAAGTTAAGAGTAATAATAAACTGTCTTCGAATACATGGGGAGGCTTAAGTTTATGAATAGCTATAGCCTCAGCGTATTCCAATAAGTGCCCCTGACCATTTTTTTATAGATGACCTTAGAGGCTGAGTTAACATCAACCTTATGGTTAATCTCGATAAGAAGCTTAGCAACAGACGAAGTTGGTAGTCTGACACCTGCGTCTATTGCTTCTCCACAATTCATTTGTTTTTCAAACCATTTCAGGATATGATGTCACCCTCACATACAAAGCACGATTACTCCTCCCTATGTATGTGTGTCCACACAGACACACGAAAAATATTGCTGGCTGGCTGGCTTAAACCAACTGTTATGGATTTTGTTGACTGGTGATGTCGTGTTTTCGTTTCACCGCCACTAGCTTTTTTAGACCTCACTGATCCTATGTCAGCTAGGTAAGATTTCCCGTCGAGTAAGGCGATCGATGGCTGGGCTAGTATGCGTAACACCTTTCCTGGGCATCTCAATCGATGTAACATCACAACCTCGTTGGTTGTCTTCCGCTGCCTCCTTACCTAGAACTCGACCGATGCTTAACCTCAATACAATATTACTCATCCTATCATACCATACCATAACACAGACAGGTATGATGAAAGATAGCTCGCCGGGCTTTCCATGTCTTTCACTGTCAGTGGTCACGTTTCACTCACATCTATAAAGGAGTAGGTGGGAGTCAACTGGTGAGCAGTTTACACGTCCTTTGGTCAACAGCTAGCCAGATATCACGTCTACACCAGAGATGGTTTAAGTTGGCAGGCCAAAAGCCAAACAAGTCTTCTGTATCCGTACTGGGATTTGGTCAGCAATCAACGCACTGGGACTGGTTAATGGAACTTTCCAAATAAGTGAAGTGGTCAACACGCTCTACCACTTCGCTCCTGCTTATCTTTAAGCTAGGAATCGACGTAGTGCAGCCCTGTAGTATGACAAGAGCGAATCGCATGCCAAACATTCGACGACTGCTGCTCAAGGTGTTTAGAAGACTCTGTATTTTTTCAGCGTCTTCATTTACGAAGGATGACTACATGATCCACATAGTCAAGGTAAGAAGACAATCTGAGTCGCTGAAGTCAGTCAGGACTCAGTCCATTAGTACATCTACGATGAAATTAAACAGAAATGGGGATTTCAGCACAGAACTTTAAACAGAAGTACCGATAGAAGTTTGTTGCCACACTATATGTAGCTCAAAAAGTCAGAGAAAAAAACAAAGATTCAAGGGAATTATAATGTGCAGAAATGTACGGGAGAAAGAATATCATTAACGTGGGGAAACATAAACGTTTAATGGAAAAGAGGCATTTGTTCAAATTTCTCTACAGGAATACAGCGAATAGAAACGAAACTATTTAGTCCCTGCAAAGTTTAAGAATACGATTACTAGAACGACGACATAACATACTTTAAAACACGAGTGAATACGAAGCAGAAACTGTCGGCTAATAGAAGCAGGAATAATTATAATGCCGAAGAAAGTGAAACTCCCCTGGTAAATTAGAGGAAGAAGTTAGTAATGATGCTGACATTTTTGTGCGTCGGTAGCACAGAGGTAGAGTGCTCGCCGATTACGCAAGTGGTCCGAGGTTCGATCTCCGGCTGACAGACTCCTTTACCTCGCTAAACCAGTGGTGAGACTGGTCAGGAGGGAAGGTTGGGCACGAGGCTAGCAACCCCATCCTGTAAAAATAATCACCACTGCTACAGAAACTTCAAGTCTCTAGCTTGAAGCCCTATGTTCCAGTGCGAACGTAAACGAATAAAAAACAGAAAATAAAAAATTATGAGATGGTCGTTAGCCGCTTTGTGTTGTCAGAAGTGTAAGCATATTTAAAGTGTGGAGTCGGAATAAATACTTAATTAGTTTATACATAATGTTTCCTGGCTTCAAAAGGCAGACCAAATAAGAGAAATACAGTAGATCTACCTAAGAAGATCGAGAGTGCTTCAACCAATTTTACCATAATCGATGGCTGAAAATTGCGAATTTATCTGCAAACATATGCAACCATTAGAATTGTAAACAAATGCCGTTTAACCTTTAAAGTTATAGTTGTTTTAAGTCAAAATCTGCATATCATATGTCCAATTACTAATCAAAAAAAGAATTTAAGGAAAAATGATGTAACGACTCTCTATGTTTTCACCCACATTATCGTGCATTATGTCTGATAATAATATGAAAAATATCGCTGAACACAAGATGCAATACCTAGAAATATCTGTCTAGTTAAGATGCATAAACATACCCCTAATAAATAGCATCATTTAAATATTAGGAAACATGAAATCAGCTATTCGTTGAACACTGTGCACTAATGATATCATATGTTGGACGAATTCATTTGTTCCACTTGCTTCTATTCGTAACACAACAACGATAAAAGTTATCATCATACATAACGTAAAAAGGTTAAAAAGGAATAATCAACAATTTGATGTCACTGGGTTATAATCGGACTGGGAAAGAAGCCTAAATTTCCTTAAGATTCCAGTTGCCGGCGTCTGAGTGGCATCCTGTAGACTGAGACAGCTGCTGGCGAATTAATTAGTTACTCAGTTTCACATACACATGAATATTGATTATAGGATTCAGTTTTCGTTTACAGACTCTTAAATACTCGTGTCTAAAACTGATAACAAAGTCAGACTACATAATTTCCCTGTTCCTAAACGACAAAAATGTCACTCCAAAAATTTAAGTAATATATAAAACTGAAAGAATGTAGGACACATATAGAACAGTATTGATGTCCACTATAAAATGACTTGAGTAGTATTTTTCTTATTGTAGCTTGACTCCACACAGTATTTTTGATACAAGTATGGAATTTTCAGCACGAGATATCGGTAGTCCAAATTTCGCAGGCCAACCATTGATATCAGGTGTGCATCGGCCGGGAAGCGAACCCAGACCATGTGTATGGTCGGCTATCACCGACAGAGAAAAAACAAACGCGAAACAGGTCACACTATTCCACTATAGTTTTCAAACGAGAATGGAGATTTAATTGGTTAGTTGTGAGTGTAACTGCAAATTATCATTGATACTGAGTGTAAACCAGTTGTATCTCAAATCGATACACACTTAGACATCTGAACATGTTATGCATACATTAAAATATTTTTTCATAATGCGTAGTACTTAACTTATAACGTGAGTTTTCTACACCTCGTGTCAGGTGAACGCAATGATATATAATAAAAGGGATTGAGAAACATGATTATTTATTGACTGGACAAAAACATAAACGTAAAAATAAATGAATACTCGATACTAAAACCTTACACTGGTAGGTTTCACTCAGCATACATACTTGTCATCGGTATTTGAAGTTAAACCATCGCCCACTTTTTAGACAAGCTTGACGAATGGGATCTCATGAAGCGTGCAACACGAATAACTGGCTGGGACTTATTTCAAACAACAACAGCTAAGCAAGTGATCTACCAAATCGCACATAACACATATCCCATAGATTGCCGCACTGTAAAAGCTGCAGCCTACAACCATTTCTACACAGTTAACTGACACGTCTTTTGACAGTAAGACGGTGAATTTAGTGAGGAAGTTATTTATTATTTAGAAAATATTCAACTGAAATTTGATTGAAGACTTTGTCGAACACTCACCTTAACCATCTGATCACGTCCGCATGTAAGAATCTCAGGATCTGACGATGACGCAGAAGCACTTGAGCGCCATACAATATGACAGATATCCGCCTCATGAGCATAGAAGCGGGTCAACTGTACGATGCTTGGAGTTGAAGAAATATCCGACGGTATAAATGAATAAACACACACAATTCCTTTCTTGTAACCGACAGCAACTCGCGAAATCGATTGAACTATTGCACATTTCTCCCATGCGCACATCACAACAGAATCGTTTTCGAATTTTTTAGATACATAGTAAGATTTGTTCGTCTCACAGTCAACAACCCATACAAAAAGCCACCCTCTATCTGTGCCCACGAAGTTGTATGACTCATTTGCAGAGCAGGAGAAACAGCTGACAGCTGTTGGGTTGATATTTCCCCGCACTTCCTGTATATTAAACTCAGTCTCCAGCATCCATTCTTGACTGAAATACTTCCAACGTCGAACTAAACCATCAAAGCCACAAGAAACCACACGCAAACAAGCACACTCATCAAAGGTTACTGCAGATATTTTGTCTTGGTGGGCAATTATCTGGCCCACACAACCCCACGAATATTCCTGTTGATTTTCCCAGTTCATTTCTTGTTTAATGATGAGAACGTGTATATATGAACGAGAGGAAAATGCAACAAGAGCACGTCCTCCATTGTTATTAGCTTGCCAATTTGTAACGGCCACTACGTTTGACTGGAACCAGTCTGGTGAACTTGTCAAAACATATTTGGCGATTTCGCGATATTCCTGAATTACGTAAATTAGTGTCACACTGAACTTACCATCAGCGTGGAATCAAGCTGTAATCAAAATCAAAATCAAATCAAGAGCTAGTGTAACGCAGCCTTTACAGTCCCACCAACTTCAATATCCAAGATATTTGAGCGTTTGAACTTGTTGCAGTGCTTTATTTGACCAAAATAGCGTACAAGTATGTCCCAGTACTTCTTCGCGTTTATTATTGTGGGTAACTGTAAACTTTAGCAGCCCAAACGAAAACTACCTTACGAACGGACAAATGACCTGGACAAGGACAACTTTAACCAATCAGAAGGCTTAAAATGAACGGCGCATAATTTCAATAAATCGTTTATATACAAGTAATGCAATGTTAAAAAATAGTTACAAAGGATAGCGTTCTCGTATATGTTGCAAAATAACCTCCCAATTTGACATAGGAGTCTTTAAAGTCATGTTAAACCAAGTCCTATACATAAACTCGTCGAGATAACTGTAAATCATTAGATTTCTTGATCCATTCACAGATCTTATCCGTTTTTTGAGATGACTCCAGAAACTTTCGCGAAAAAGTATCTAAGGGAACTTTGCCCTATAAACTAAAAAATAACGACATACCCTCTCGGATCGATTTTCTGCATCTGCACTCCCTGCAACGGTAAACATAACCGTCGATGCACCTCGTGTATTTTTGTATATGCATTACACCTCCGCACTGGCAAGTTTTCGACCTCGCTATCAGCCTGTTCTCTAAACAGTAATCAAAAACAAACTCTGGAGCGAATTTTCACCGCAAACGATGTACAGCATCCATTCCGAGTCAGGTGATTGCCTGCTCAAGGTCATCCTTCCGTTCTCAAGGTAGTTTCGGTTTGGGCTGCTAAAGTTTAGAGTCACCCGTGAAGTCTCCACTGAATGATACCATGCCGAAAGGTGCAGCATCTAAATAAAGTAGACTATCGGTGTAGATGACATTGCCCTTCAACTATCCCATCTTTCTCATTATAGCGATATTTTGCTAAAGTTCGCCTGAAACACTGATCGTTGCAACCAATATGCTAAGGGGTGTCGCAGTCGGATTACATGACGTGGACACCAAAGTAACTGGCTAGAAAATGGGAATTCCCATCAATCCAGATAACATATAACACAACTTTATTGAAAATTATTGACAAAAAATAATTTCCAAGTGAAATTTTAACGACTGTTCTAGAACGTGATATTTAAGGTCAGCCGCCTAGGATTATGCCACATAAATTGTTTTAACTTATTCAGAGTGTGCTTACTGTCATTATTCTATTACCTTCTCTTGTATATATATATCTTGTGTCAGTGAAAATTTTAAACATGCTTACTCCATGTGCCCATTATTATGATATTGATGATGCCTGTCAACTGGAGTCCCTCATGTGCATAAATTGAAAATATATTATTATAAGACACATTTTATTGTTATATGAGGGAATTGACTTCAAGCTTTATTTATTTTCCCAAGTATCTGTAATCCATCCAACGCATACTTGGATTTTTTTGTTAATACGAAGTCAATATCTCTATATTTCTTGATGAATTCCATTGAATCACTAGTTATCAGATTCTTCCCACAAACTGAAGATGAAATGACAGCAACTATGTTGTTTAACCGTAAATCATGTAATTTAAATATGTAACTTAAGTAATACTTATCCATGCCTATACAACTGGTGTGTCCTACATTTGTAGGAATAAATATGTATCTTATTATATTATCATTACTAACTATACTTACTAATCGTATGTGTAATTTATCGAATTGATGATACCTGTAAACTGGCGTCCCTCATGTAAAAAATGAGAATATATTATTACTATTATAACAAGAGGGTGTAGGAGTCAGGCGCAGGAATGCATTATCATCTTTGAGCAGTCTGGTGACTGAGGAGATGAACACTGGAAGTGTGTTTGCTTCACATACATTATCTGGTAGTCTATTCCAAATGACTGAAAACTTATTTAGGAAGGAGTTGTACCGCATGTAAGTCTGACAATGCTCTATAGCAGCTAGGTTGTGATGATTTCTAAGATTGTAACTGATGACAGCGGTTGGTTTAATTATTGGCTCGGAGGAGTGCACGAGCAGATTAGTTATCTTGTAGTAAAAAATCGGGTTTAGCTTAAGACGTCTTTTCCAGAGTGGTTCTAAACTTAGTCTCTTGCAACGTTCATAGTATTCGAGACCACTTTCTAAACCAAAAATTCTTAAGGTGAATTGCCGTTGCACTCCTTCTAACTTAAGCTTGTTATTTTGTCTGAGTCCACTAAGAATAAACGGGCAGTATTCTAAAATAGGTCGGACACATACTTTATATAATAAAACCCTAGCTCCACAACAAAAGAAATTGCGAGTTTTGCATCCTAGGAGCCTCCGTGTTTTACTTCTAGCATAATTGGTTTATCCAGAGAACGTTTAATTACTGGAGTACCTGATACCGAGACCTATGACTGAGTTGAGCTTGGCTAGTTTTCGCCCATTTTCTTCAGGAGCTGGGTCAAGGTTACTGTTACCGATACAAATCCAGCCGCATTAGTCAATGTTAAATCTTAGACAGGATTCACCACACCATGTTGCGAGACCACTTAGTTCAAGATGTATTTTTCTTAACATATCGCTTAATTCATGACTGTAGCAGGAGTAAACTACTTCGAGGTCGTCAATATGTAGGAATGATTTACCTGAGGTGGAGCAGTTACAAATATTGTTAATGTAGACTGCAAATAAAAGTGGTCCTAGGACACTACCCTGCACAACCCCACTTGGGATCTGCCTAGCATGAGACAATACTGACCCGACATCGGTTGTTTGTACCCTGTTCTTAGGAATGATTTTAACCAGTTCAGTAATGGATTTCGAATTCCATGTGAGTACAGCTTCTCAAAGAGAATACTGTTAGATACCATGTCAAATGCCCTAGATACATCAAAGTAGAGAACAACAACTAGCTTACGTGCTTCGCGACTACTAGTGATGCAGTTGGAAAAGTCAGAGTGGCAAGCGAAGCTGGGCGTATTTTTGAGAGATCTGTGTTGAGACCTTGTAACAGGATCCTCCCTAGGTAAAGAGTCTCATAATTGATCTTTGAATACTTTCTCCAAGATTTGCGAGGTAACTGGGCTTATATTTATAAATTTGTAATTGCGAACGTTTGCCTTATCACCAGATTTGTAGTGTGGAATCATGAAGCTGGTTCTTCACTCGTCAGGGTAAGTGGCGGTGTTCACAGATATTGAGAAGAATTTAGGAAGTAAGAGTGGAATGTCGCATCCACTGCTTTTGAAAATTATTGAAGCAAGGCAATCCGGTCCCGTGCTAGCTGCTTGTTCTGTGTTCCGCAGGAAGAAACTAGTAAGGGGTGCGGTTCCACCAGGGGTGTGCATTTGTAGGCCGAAGTTCGCAAACCACTCACTAAAAAGTCCACAGATGGTGGCAGGCCTATTGTAGATCACTTTGTCATGAAGTAATTACGAGATGTCCCTCGTCGAGTATATTCGTTTTTTAAGAAGTGTATGGGGTTACAAGCTTCAGAGGTACTTTTAAGTGCACTTAAATATTCGTCGAGGTCTTTTTAAGAGCGTAGGCGCTTAATAGATTTCAGTGACTTGTGTATTGAGTGCAGTAGTGATATATCCTTAGTGGAATATTACTGTTTCATCAACTTCCTTAACTTATTGCTGTATGCCCTTGGAATGTATTCAACTTGTTGCCTACTTAATGTCAATGTCTTCTTAGTAATAATAATAATGTATTTCATATAAATTTACAAATTTACATGAAAATGCATGCCATTTTTACAGGCACGATCAAGTATGATATAATATCAAATCGTAGATTGTCTACAAGTTAATCGTATTTCAACTGTTAAATATTCGATACATATGATACACTCATTTTCTGAATTAGGCCGTATAGTTATTGAATTGTACAGTTGTCCTCCAGGTTGAGCGGGAAAATCGACTTCGTTCCGTTTTCATCCCGTGGTTGTAGGCATACGATAACCAACCAATATTGAGGTAAGTACACCTTTTACAAGGGATTGGAATCTGTTTTAGAAAAATTAAAGTGCTGAGGTGAATCATTAAATTGTAATGAAATAGGTAAGTGCAAGTATCATTAATAAATGCATTAATAAAGGAAACACCCTAGGGTAACAACATTCATTTGCAATGTATAATGCTACAGATATATCACAAACTATCATGATATCCACTTTTGGTTTTAATACAATTATCCTCATGCCAGTTGTTTTTATTTTATACCTTTTTGTGCATTTAGTGCACAACCGTACCCTTCAGAGAGTAGGAGTATAATAAGTAATGAAGAGCTATAAGATGTTAAGTTTAATGGAGTAAAATGAGGATCAAGTAAAGACGTTGCCAGAAAATAAATGAGATAAGACATTGTGGAGTGGTATGAAAATATCTGACGATAGACAGCAAGTTAATTTATAAGATGCCCCATAAATCTGAGCAGATCCCACATGGTCGCATCTCAACAATAGGCTGGGTGAATGGTATATATTTAAAGGTAGAAGCATGATCTGTCAAGGCGTTCATTGTTATCTTTCTCAAGATAAAGATTTAAGCCCTCATGAAAATCAGAAATATCTCGAGCCTTCAAATTTTTTAATGCTGTTCCTGCAGAATGGGACGATTCACCTTAGTAACCCCCACCATATCTACTGATCAGCTAACTCCACCCTCCCACCTTTTTTGATGTGAGGCTCTGAGACTATGATTATTATGGTTACCGCAAATATATTGCTTGGTACCAGACATGTTCGTACCCCATATTCCATCTCCCTAGCTTTCTTAATGAGTGCTTCCAGTAGGTCCCCGCGTACATCTTTATGAACATATTATATATGTATGCATGCGTCCTAATGAACAGATTACTTTATAAGAAGTCAAAAACCTTGAAGAATAACAAGAATAGGTTTTGTGAATAGTGGAGCAAGATTCAGCAGAACAATATAGTTAGGGTTCAATATAGGTAGTATGAACTGAAGGTAAGGTCGGTTGGCAGGACCAAGTGTACTAAATTATCATGACAGTTTTATATATAGTAAACATTTGACATTGCAAAGTAACCTGTCTAC